AGATATCCGACTGCAATGTCACTTGGTTCGTCCTGGCAGTTATACTAAATCTGGACCTCCGCCTTGTTTGCAAACTATTTTAAGGAAAAAAATGATGTACAGATCTTCCCATATGTCCATTGCAGGTCACAAGGATGCTAAACTAAAAGCAGTCATTTAATAAAGTACATAATTTAAAATGGTTTTTAGTGAAAAGATTTTCCATCCATTCCTCCTTGCAACTTTTTCTCACTTCAGTATCGCTTAGCCATATCTATCTGGATTCTATCCAGCTAGCAGAGAGGTATATGAGGTACCGCGTGTCCACAACATTGACTTCTTCAGCCAGGTAGCATTGACAGCTTCATGTTTAAGATTCCCAAATGGTTCATGGCCATGGCTAGTGTCACTTTATTTGCTAATTGCATTCCTGCGGAGCGCAGGACTGTGATACTGCCGCTAGATTAACGTCTTTTCAATCCTTTTGTAAGGGGTCGCCACAGATTCTCGCATTAACAGCATATGCACTTCTTCCGTTACAATAAGGTATAGCATTCAGCGATAGAAATGAGGGTGGTTGTCATTTTGGATCGGATCCGCTTTCCACTGCCACAAATCTAGCGTCCTGAGGCTTCCAGAAAATCATGAAAACCAATCGCATGGTCCTTAGGCCAATCTGCCCAGCCTTGGTACAAAATCTGGTCCTCAAGTGCCACCTAAATCAAAACGGGGACTTAAACAACCAATCAAATTGTAGCAGTTAATGATATAATGGATTAGTTATACATTTCAAATTTCAGCTGTTTATTAACCCCATTGTTACTGTTAATAATGAACCAATAAGTTTAAGATAACTACTTGAAGTTTTAAGTATGCCACTAAACGTAACTTTATTCTCTTTTTTGCATTATTCTAATACGTAAGTAGTAGTAGTACCTCCAAGATAACGGTATAAGAGACCATGGTCGAATTAACCATCCGCTGTCCTATTTTCATGTTAGGTAGATCCTATGCACAGGCTCTTAACGCTTTTTCAAAGCGTGTTGTCCAGCCATATAATTTATGCTGAAGGCCTAAGAATGGGTTCTAAAAGTGTGCACGTCCTGGCTCATTAATTCAGTGGAATTCCTCCCTTCCCTATGTTTTGCGAAAGCAGACGAGGAGGGGGAAAGAGAGAGTCTACTGCAGAAACGCTCACCTTTTCAAATTTATTTTTAAGGGATATCACAAATCAGAACGCTGGATCAGGAGATTTATGATTTACATTTAAAATGCGGCAACGCATGCCTTTAGGGTATATTTTTTATAAGACAATAAATCGAACTTAAAATAAACCAACACTTACAATGGTCACGCTTAAACGCCTTTGAAGTAAAAAGGTATTATTTAGTGATAACTACACTCAGTATTCGTAGTCCAGGGGTTTTGATCGCCACTTTTATCCATGCCGTTGTGTGGAGCCCAGTGTCTTGCCTAAAGCGGTAAGAAATAATACTAAGGCAGGAAACACGTTGCCGACACACGAGGGACCTGTTGGAGAGAAAGAGGAGAGGGACCTGCTGGCACAACGAAGAACCACACAAATAATTAAAGTATAGCAGTTTATTTTAACTGCCTACCATTATTTCCCCATATTTGGGCTAAAGCTCATTTTATAGCCTAGCCCCATTGGTACCATCAAGAGGAACCCAAGCGCAACAGCACTGTTTAGTTCAATGCAGTCAATCTACCCTTACCTTGAAAATAAGCAAAAAATCGCAAATTCCTACGCTTGTATATAATTTAACCTCCTGAAAAACTAAACTGATCCAGGATTCGTTAGGTGATGCCAGTGAATTTTAAGAAAAGGATGTTTTTATGTTTTGAGGAACAATCCTGTAATCTACAACCCAGATGGTAAATAATTTGATATTTACATAATATGCAAGGATATTTATAATAGTTTATTGTGTTATGCCTTAATTGTTTGCTCAACTTTCAGTTTCGTTAAGGAGGTCTGGTCTCCGCGCCATGCTAGTAGTCGCCCAGCCCTACTGTACGCCGGCGATACATATTCTACCTTAATACGGTGTTTTCTTTGTCTTCAGAGAAGTCCTGGGGTGCTATAATTATCTTTTTTTTATCCATTAACAAATAGATGAAACTATCTAAGGTGCTTAAGGTACCTGCAACTTGACTTAACAATGTCTTGTTATTCCGTGAATTTATTTTAAAAGAAGGCCATTCGATATACATCTTAAACATTAACGGCAATAATTCATTGGTCTGCTAAGCATTCCTCACAAAAATGTAATTGGAATACCGAATTATAAATGTAAAATGTCTTTAAATAACAATTTCCAAAGTTATGTACATTACACCCCACAAGTTGAGGCACACAGTTTGAAAACTAGTATTCCTTTTTACCCAAAAGTGGTTAAAAATTGTACGAAGCCTAAATTTTTCGCATCCAAGTGCACCCCAAAGAGCTTGGATAATGCGTTGTTAAGAATAAACAGAGGGGTTAGTGGGCACTCAACTGAAGTAATATGAGTAGAGCTCCATTGTACCAAGGTAATACGTGAAACCGCGGGCTTCAAGGAACCCTTGCGGATAACCGCACTACCTAAACAAACATCATTTTCAATAATATCTGCATTTATCCTTTATTCATGCTAGCAGTAATAACAAAATCGGATCTTGGTGTTCAGTATTCCTTTGGTTTCCAACAGAGGTATTTGATCCTGCGGCAACTGTCGTCTGACAAATATTTAGCTTAGTCCAAGTTCTAGTCTACCTTCGAAAGTTATTCAGTATACTGGTCAAAGTTACCCAAAAGCATCACTAAATATACCCTTGTTCAATGGCTGGAGTCTTATCTGAAACCTCACCAGCACTTCGATTTGTTCGCACAGAAGATGTAGAGGAAAAAATATGAACATGTTAAAACCATCCCTAACCTATTGGAAACTCTCACATTTCAAAAAAAACTGAAGAAATATGTGAATGGAGGAAGTGAATAGCCACTTATTTCAACTCGCAAATCGAATGTTTACAGACAACCATTGTTTAAACTTACTTATCTGGTTTGATTAGCATATAGTACCCCTAGAATTCCCCAAGAATGAAAGTAGATAAAATACTGGGGCAGATTACCTACTGCCGACATACAGAGTGGCTGAGGGTCTACTCGTGTAGCTCGGGGGCCAGGCCACCCAGCAGAAGTGCAAAGGTGAACCCTTAAGTGCCCGTTTAACTAAAACGAAGTGGTATAAAAAATATTGCGTTTCCCGCAAGGTGTATGAAGTACACACTGAAAGCGCAACAACTTTATTTTCTTCTACGGCAAAGAAGTTAACCCTTATGATTGTTAGTCTTTTAATCTAATCCCACAATTACAGTTACCGAGATGCGCATCGATCACTCAAACACGCCTACCCCAACTAGACCTGCGCTTCAATGTCAGTTGCTCTTTGACTTATTCTACACGAATCCTGACATTAAATGTGGATAGTAGACGTCACTACCACTGAGTCATCAACTGACTAATATTATCGAGAGGCAAAAAAGGGGCAACTTAAAAGCCCACGAAACACCTTGTTTTTCTCCTTTAATTTCCGGACACTTGGCTCACGCGAGGCTGGAGCAGCCCACGCAGCTGGGACGAACGCGCTAGTTGGCGTAGCTGATCGACCGCATGACTACATCTGCGAGCCTGTGTAAGTGTCTACTTGCATTATTCCACCATACCCATGGCTTGCCCCAATAGCCCGTGGGCTTGGGTGAAAATATCAGGTACGTTTGTATCGCGCGTGTGTGTAGCTTGTGACTCATGAGCCCTCGGTTGATAATGCACTAAGCGGACGTGATGGACCGGCCAGATTCGCCCAAAGTTTGCGATGATGGCCGTCTCCTAAACAGTAGAGGATAACCTTCCTCTGGTTTGAACATATACGCCATTTATCATTAGTGATGTATGGACGCACTGTATAGACTGTTATTAGGTAAGCAATGATTGATTTTTACTTTGAGGAATTATTCATAACTCCGTTCAGTCAAAAATTCAGTTATTTAACAACCGTTACTTATCTAGACTGTCCTTTTTGTTGCTCTGCAAGATCGTATTAACTCTCATAAGATCCTTTATAATCTAAGTCTTCCTTTCGATTGATGATAAATGAACCTCAGGATTAGTGAAAGAAGAATGACCAAAAAGATGCCCATGATTCTTGACTCCTTCGTCGCTAAAGCCCCAAAACAAAAATAACCGACACATTTATAAAACGCGGCTACAAACAAAATGGAGCTCTACTTCTCAAACCGAAGATCCTTGTTTATTTGGTTGATTTAGTCCAAACTAATTTGTTTTTGCCGCAATTTGGTACCACCATTTACCTGCTACAAACTGGTCAGAAAGACATCACATATATGTGACGTTGGTGGTCGAAATTTTATACATAGGAGATTATACAAGTAGGAAATATAACTTATCACGAAAATAGTTGAATGTAAAATGTAGAAGTGTCGTATGCGCTTTACTGGTCATAAATATCTTAATAGATGAAGCTAGACTAGCTTTGGTGGTGGCTATTTGGCAGTAGACATTCGCAACATCCAATGCAATTTCATGCACTTGCCAAGCAAGGTCAAGAGAGCTTGTGCAGCGACGGCGGCAGCATTAACAGCAACACTACTGAAGTCTGCTTTCTACGTGTGTTCATTCTCGTGCGCGCGTAAACGCGTACTGCAAGACCGCGATTTCCATCCCACCAATGGCGGGGGCAGAGGAGCTGTGCGCTAGCACACGCAGCTTTTGGGCGGAATCAATGAGTGGACGAAAATCGTGGAAAACACATTACACGAGCTAGAGCGAACTACAGAGAGCGTAGCACCGAACTAAGACGCTAGTCTCAGTGCTAAGAGGATTTGTACTCACTTTTTATTCCCTTCTCTTCCACCTTTTCCAACCTCTCCCGGCTTACAGCAATGCATCAGTTCTTCTTAAATACTTGCCAGCATCACGATTTTCGAGAATCATAATAATGCTTTCCAAGATTCGTAACAGAAGGGAGGCAGCCAAAGAGAGTAAGTTGCAGAGTGCTTTTCCTTTGAACTCAATTTTTTACTAGATAATTTTTGGATGAGAAAACCTTCCTAAGGTAAATATTTCCTACGCTGAAGTGCCGATGACTCGTTTTTGTTTGTAAAAACACCGATCATATTAGTTGACATGATCTTTTGGTGATTAAAGTTTCATTGACTGATTCAATTTAGCAAACATTTCTATTTTATTCACGTAAATGGACCGAAAAATCTTAGGAGTGGTCTGTGTGATGAAAGCATCTAATATACCATTTGCATTCACTCTTACCGTCATTAAGCCAATAAATTTGGTAATAGAAATCTAAAATAAATAGGAAAATTATTCTAGACGATAGCTTATTTTTCTGTTCTGATTACCAAGAATTTTTCGCCAATAATTGGAGTGAAAATTGTATAATTTTGGGTGAGTCAACTACTTTACTGGGAATAGCTGCTGAGACACAAAAAGTACTCTCGTGAAGGTCACGCAACCGCGACATTATTCAGACATGAGAAGCAAACATGTAAAGGGAAACTTGATAATCCTTCGAATGAATAAAGGATTCAAAAGGCGGACCGGATTATACTTAATCCTTGAAATATTCAAACTGTTAGAGCCTATTTTAGGGTAGCAGCTGATTCTGCTATCTTAAACAACTACTTTCTGCAGCCAAATGGGACAACGTTGTAACCGATTTGTTTTGGAAGAAACGAGTGATTAAATACTTGCATTTTTGACATTCTGGTACACTACTTTTCTGTATTTTGGGATTGTACAGATGAGGACGACGGCGACACAAAGGAATTCTTGCTCAATCGCAGTGTGAAAATCAAGGAAGGTGTGAGTCCGGAGGTGGAATATAGAATACATGAATTTCTTGGCAGGTTTGTAAATATTATACATAAATGCACTCGTATAATACCATTTGTGCAAATTGTATCTTTGTATTAGTATAAACTGACAAGTAAACTCTTGAACGCCCCCTACATTTGATCAGGAACATTAAGAAGAAGTTTCTTTTCGATGGGCACTTTATTTAAAAAATAAAAAATCTCTTAAATAATTGAGGAGATAAGGAGACAAAACGGGTAACTAACACGAAAGTAGAATAAATAAATGATTTTGATTTATTTACTTCATTAAACGAGAAGGCATTTAGAACTTAAAGCTCGACATTTTTTCATGTTACCATATAGCATTTGTCTCTGTAAAGCCAAGCTCCACACATTTTATTATTAAATTTTTCGAGATTCAAGTATTTCTAATTCAGAAATGGAATTTCCGCCTCTCTGAACGCGAGCTTTAGAAATAGACACACACGGCTTTTGCACTGGCGATCAGTGCCGAAACCGCATAAGTGGGATGTCACAAGTGAAATAAGTTGTGTTTAAAAATAGTTTATCTGGCCAATAATCCTGTAGTCAATGCGCGTCATACCAACGACGGTCTGATAAAAAATTACCGCTAGTAAAATATTACAGGTGCGAGGTCAAATTCGGAGCGTGTAGAAACGCTGTTCAAGCTAAAGACCGCTAAGCATAATACTAGATGCCAATCGGCCTTGGTTTTTAGGGATTCAGTTATAACAATCCGAAAATAGTAAGAATTTTTTATTAACCACAAGCTAAAAGTACTGCACATTTATTTCGGTATTTTAAAATCGAACAACCTGTTTGTGATACAGGATTTAGCGCAGTTAGTTGCCTATCATAAACCGGTAAAGAACACCCACTATAGATCTGCGATTTGCGGGGTCGTGTAAGTGCGGTGCTGGTAGTAAACTTGATAACCGCATGGCAGCGATCTCGCTCTTTTTGCAGTGGCAAGTTCGGTGATGTAAATAGGTGCGAGGAGAAGTCCACAGGCTACGAGTTGGCGGCCAAGGTCGTTCCCTACAGCTGCCTGGACGAGAAGGAGGGTGTGATGAATGAGGTGGGGATTATGTGCAGACTGCGACATCCCCGACTCATTCAACTCTACGATGTCTTTATCCAACGCGATCGAATCACTCTCATCATGGAACTGTGAGTCTCAATCATTCCTCTTCTATAAAAGTTTTACCACCTGGTGTGGATTTACTTCTGAAAATAAGGAGCTTCTCCTCCTCCTCCAAAGTCTCTAAAAACTGCATCACAATACACCAACTTCGCCGCCGAGCAAACCATGCTTCAATTTTACTTTCAGTTATGTCTTGGGATTAATGCTAGCGGTCACTGTTTGCAGAAAACTGTAATGGTAATTCAAAGTAGATATGGGAGAAAGGTTGGTTCATAGGATTTGCAGATTCGCCCGCATAGTAGCGTTAACTAAAATACCAAATGGAAGGTATCAACTAAGGAGAGGCATTCACATAAACATGCATGGGAGAAGAATCCACGTTGGCACGCTCTGTGGGAGAGGAGTTAAAAACCGGGCCATGGAATTAGTTCGTTCTGGTGTCCCAAGGTTAATTCATGGATTGTTTAGTGCCATTGGCATTTCTTGCTCTAGTTAAACTGTACATCCTTAATTCAAAGAAAGGAATCATAAAATCTTGATTACTAACAAGTTATTTAAAGTAAGATGTCGTAATCAAGACTGGGATGAGATTTGGCGTATGCTTAATAGCCAGTAAGTTGCTTGTCTGTTGAAGTACGAAGGCGTAGTGACGCACTGCTAGTAGTAGCCGTCAAGCAGCTCAAATGCGCCTTTGTTGTAGAATAACTGGTGGTGAGCTGTTTGAACGCGTAATTGACGACAGCTTCGATCTGAATGAGGAGATTTGTGAGAAATTTATGCGACAAATTTTGCAAGGCGTTGAATATATTCATTCCCAACACGTGATCCACTTGGATCTTAAGGTACGTGGCGGTCAGTTTGCACCTTTCATCACTTATTGACATGATACCTGCTTAAGGGCAGATTATTTGAATTCATAGCATTCAGTACATAAATTTAGGGCAAAAATAATTGACCAATTCGAAAATTAAGTTCCCAGAAAGTATTACGCGCCTTGACGGTTATGAATAACTTTCAGTAAGAAAACTTGTAGTTTGGAAGCTTTTACTTTCATACCACTTTTGCCTACAACCAAAATTATGAAGCCTATAAAGTGGTGGGGATGTTGCGGTATATTTTGATGCACCTTTCAAGATATTGACAATGCCAAAATTAGACACTTTAAGACCATAATAAACTTTTACAGGCAAAATTTTCATTGCATGATTTTTTATTTTTGATTTTACAGCCCGAGAACATACTTTGCTTGTCAAGAACCGGTTTTAAGATAAAAATAATCGACTTTGGGCTGGCTCGAGAGGTGACTAATGGTGATTTGCGGGTGATGTTCGGTACTCCTGAGTTTGTCGCTCCCGAGGTCATTGCCTTTGACCCCGTGACCTACGCAACGGACATGTGGTCTCTTGGTGTGGTTTGCTACGTTCTGTAAGTGTCCCGATTATTGCCACAAGCCCTAATTTACTAGTACATTTGATTCCTCGGTCCTGCTAAAATTAGGCAGATTTCTACAGAATGATTTTAATTTCATTTTATTCCTAGCGGATATTGCCCACTACTGCCTTAGTAACTTGTTTTTATTTGAATCAAAGCGGCCATTGTTTTTTCTTCTAAGACTTATGATAAATAGTGCACTTCAAGCAATTACGCTCCCCAAAATGACTGGTTAACAGCCATTAAAAACGTGCTTTAACAGATTACCCGTTGGAATAGTATGTACCAATGCCATTAAGACCTCCCAGCAATAGCAATAGCAACAAGAAATTGACAATGACGCGATTGCACAATCGTTTAAAGGCTTCATTATGACTAACGTTTGTCTTTTTTACCTGATCAATGGACCAATGATGACGTGAGATAGCCATGGCGATGTGTATATCCCTTATTCGACTGTAAAAGTCACGTATGAATTCGGCTGGCAGCTGACGTTTCGCTAGTAATTCCTAGCAGTTAGTTCGATGTAAGTGTGGAATTAGATTCCTGACTTATTTACAGTCTTGCCGTTAAATCGCTTGACGCTTTTAAAGCTGAAAATGAATAACTATTGAAGGGTAAAAAGTAAGTTATTGTTGCAGTTTAACTATGGCAGTAAACGAGGAAAAAATTGCTAAAGTAGTTTACGAAGAACACGAATTCTGTAGTAGAGATTGTACCCAGAAGGAGAATTACAAGCATCTCTAACTCTCCCTGCAAAGAGGTAGGAATTTTAAGCAGGATAGTTAAGGCATGTGCATTTCATAGACAGGTCTGACAGTCTTTTCTCTTCACCAAAACATGGCAGCAATTGTTTGAAAAAGGAAATTTTTACACAAATGGAGTGGTTAAAAAGCACCAGTCTTGTTGCATTCAATATTTTGAGGAATTTTGTAATATCAGACAGATGATTTATTTAGCTGCTGCCTGCCTTATTTCCCTTTGAAAGTTGGCGCATTCCTACTTTGAAAACTCGAAGACAGTTTTGACAGGATACCGTAACAAAGAACATCATTTTTAGCGGAAAAAAGTGCCCATGATAAATGTTAAAGTTTTTATCTTCGAGTCTTTACTTCGTAGAAAGAAGTGTAAATCTTGTTGTAAAAGGCTGAAACGAGGAAGCTGAGTTGCTTCAACAAAGTAGGAAACTTCAGTGAAGCTTTCCAGTAGAATTTTAACCAAATAATATGATGCCAGGTGGAAGGAGGTCAATAAACTCGGTGTTCTCCGACGCATTTTTGGGTTAAAGGAAAGGCAAAAGGCCTCAACGTTTCCCTAACATGTACCTTTATTTGAGAAAGAAAGGTACTTTTACTGGAATTGTCGTCCTATTTTGTAAACAGAAAAGAGAACATAATCAAGAGCCCTCAAATTGATCAGCGATCCTGAAATTGCAGACAAAGATTTTATTCAATCATTCTTGATCCATTTATTTATTTAACAGTTAGTTCATTTAGTCATTAATTAATTCAGTTCCCATTTATTCACCCCCATTGTGTTTAGCCACTCATTTCTTGAGGCTAAGATGTTTTCAAAACACCTTTAAAACATCTTTGAACTTCACCAGCGTTCAAGTTACTTAAGCGGAGATATTAATTGCAAAGCCTTTGCGGACCCACAGAAAACGCAAGTAAAGCATTTTTGCTGTGTAAAGCAATCATTTTATCTCGTTGTCAGTTATCAGTTATATTTCTGGGGGAAAAATGGGGTTGTCAACTGCCCATGAAGATCGTTTATTAACATCAAGGAAAAATCTTTAGAATTATCTGTTTCCCCTCTGCAGCTTCATTTCTGCTCCATCTATCCCCAAACAGGGTAGTACTTCTGTGATTTCATTCACCATACACGTTTTTGCCAAAAATAAGAAAAAATCACTCTTACCGTTAAATTGGCGAACTGTAGGCCTAGAATTGGGAGTTAACGTTATTTTTTAGTGATTGACATAATCAGTAGATGGACTTTTCGGACCTTCCATAGTGTTTGTTGGATTGTGTACAAGAATATAAATATTAAAATCTAAGAAAAAAAAATTTTTCGACTCCTATCTAAGGCTTTCCGGTCTGTCACCATTCATGGGTGACAACGAAAGTGAGACTTTGAGCAACATTATGCGCTGCAGCTACACCTTCGACTACCCGGAGTTCAAGGACATATCCGCCGATGCCAAGGACTTTATCAAAAGCCTTCTAAACAAGAATCCACGGTGAGCCAGCCTACTAAGAAAGATCAAATTCTAATTTCATAAATCAAAGCATTAAATGATAAATTCATGCAAATTTTTAGCAAGAGAAATACCGCCACACAGTGCCTTGCTCATCCCTGGTTAAAGGTATGTTATCAATCCACTCGGGTGCATCTTTTCATGAGAAGGTTTCGTAATTTCCGTCTTTAAAATAAGCGCTTTTTAATTAGATAAGCTCGAATGCTTATCACCTGACTTCCTTGATTTTTCAATTGGACGTGTCTTTTAAGGAAGCAGAAATAATGTTTGTCAGTAGTTGTGACACAGCAATGGTACTCAGCTCAAGGTGGACCACTCGCGTCTACGGAACTCGGGTATCGTGGTACCGTTAGCAAAATAACCTTATAAAACTGTCTATAATGCTGCAGCTAACAACTCAGATAAGACCTATACCGCCTTCTGAAAACATATGAACCCTTGTATCTCATTTATTCGGATCAAAAGTGATCCGTCCAATCAAACGTGAGGTCCTAGGAATATCTGCAACTCCTTTTTTGATTCCAATACTGGGTAAAGATAAGGAAAAAACCTTTTGTCTAAACGAATTTAAATAAATTGTTTTTCATCTCTAAGTCCATTAAATATTTGCAATCAATTCTTTGATATCCGATAGACGAAAAATTTGCCATGACACCGCATTTGTACTTCAATTCTAGGAGAAACCACGGTTAAAGCGATCAGCAACAGTTAACAAAAAGCGGTTGCGTCATTTCGTATACCGACGCAAGTGGCAGGTGGGTAATAAGAATCGTCACCTTCTTTACCAGCTATAATAAAGTTTAGTTACTTGTTTTTATTCTCCGATATATTCTAGAAAGCCGTAAATGCGATCATAGCGCTTCAGAGAATGGGAGTTGTGTTGACCCACACCCCCAACAGGGAGTCGGATTATCGAAAGCTGCTCCAAGCCAAAAGCTCAAAGACTGCTGCTTTTTACCGCAAAACTTCCATTCGGGATACACCTTTCGTGGTGGTTCCGGAAGGTGACGTGAAGCGAAAACAGTCCTACAGTAAACCTGGTGAGGCCGTTAAGCAGCCTATTGAACGGAGAGTGTCAATCCCCCCCACAAATGCACCAAAAACTACTCCTAACAAGAGACCTCCCCAAATTACTGTCACAAATCCCTCGAAAACCGAACTAAAGCAGCGGATTCCTGGCTTTACACAGGACCAGATCTCGTCCAGCTCACCTGTGAATAAACCTTCGACTCCAATATCACCTAAAGCAGAACCAACTTCTCCCTCGGGACAGATGCAGTCAAAACTAGCCACTGCGCCACAGAAGACGCTTATTAACAGTACATCAAATAATCCATTTAAAAAAGAGGCTCAACCTCTTACACATACGGACCAAAAACATACATCTCCAAAGCCGCCAACACTGCAACCGATGAACAAAACCGAAGTCAAACAGCCATCCTTGGGGATTACAAATAAAACGCCGAAGAACCTCGCCACACCAGATGCTTCCTCTATAAATGCGTCGGCAGGCGCGACAAAGGGTTCCATTAGCCCACCATTTGGGAACCGGGAGTTGAGTTTGCAAAAGTCGACAGCTACTAATGTTGTGTCAAAATCCGCTACCCGGATGAAATCGCCTCCCTCCTCCACAACAATACGACCTTCGACAGCACCTTCCATAACTTCTACCAACGCCACCGCTGAGACCACTTCTTCCGGATTAACTGCAGACAGACCGAATCCACAGCCGTCAGAACCAGTACTCCTGAAGATGGTGACGCTTTCAAAGCCGCGGGGCAGTGTTGCGGACCGCATAAGTTTTTTCAACAACTCCTCTACCAATCAGCAAATAAAAAGCGCCAAAGGCAAGAAGTTTTCTCTTTACAGTTAAAACAACTTGCCTGGTGTTGGCTGCTTAACTTTGATGTTTTACTGCTACTGCGCTATCGAGAGCTCTGCCAAATGCCACCCTTTCGTTTGTACATAAACACACATATCCACAGACAAAGATGCAAAGAGGGACATATTCACATTGACTGCTCTGTGTTTACAGAACGGTGTGTGTCTGAAATTCCGCTTTATCAAGATGCTTTATTCCTTCCACACTGTATTACCCATCCGTCTTATGACAAGAGGCTTTTCTATTCCACCTGTTCTACTTTTACTTTGTTTAAAGGCCAGATGTCCTCAAGATAAAGGGATCATTCAATCAGATTTTGGATTTTCGACAAAATTAAAAGATTAGATGGCACAAATTGGTGTTTTAAGGTGCTTACTTTTGTGGAGGCGAATGCCATAAATGTGTACATAAAATATTTTAGATTTTAGTAACTGGAATGCCCGATGCACATATAGAGACGACTTGGTTATGAACATACAGAATGACTGCACAGTCAAATGGCTGGGTGATGTGAGCAAGGCTTTGCGTCACGGTAGTAGGGGCTGAATAATGGGTGTTTGTAAAAGTACAACAGCACCAGCGGCGGCTGCTTTGACTTTTGTGCACGGTCCTAATAACTAGTCCCTTTTCATCCCTTGCGGTGACCTCGAATTCGCCACGGCTGTGATGAGCGCAAGTAAACCATGTGTGGTTTCGTGTTTTCCCTCTTAAATGCAGTTGATAGTCTGATTTTCAGGTATTTTTGAGGAAAATTGCGCCTCACATGGGAATCATGAATTGTTAATCTATAGTTTCTATGAGGACTTGGAGTGCAAAGTAGATTCCGTCTAAACTCCAATTTAGGTCCAGGAATTATTTTCAAAGACTGTGTGTGGACCTAGGCGCCACTTATGAGCTTGATTAATTTGAAAACAGAAAACCCACACTTTTATTGTGAAGCGAAACCCGAGGTTTATTTGGCATTTCGATTTCATTTCATTGATTAGATTCTTTGACAACTATAGCATTGTCAACATTACAGACCTAGGCACTTTCGGCGCATACTTTATCGCTACACCACCGATTTCTTCTAACACTGTTCGACGGAAATAATTTATTCCAATGAAAAAGCTTGGGACCAAAATTGCACCAATGGAGTTGCCAAATTGATTTATGCATTCTTAGGGCTGGCCTCTTTGATTCGCCAGACTCTTTAACAGGACATGCGGTGTCTCATTAACCATTCAATTGGTCTGGAGGTGGGCGTGTTATACCAAACACACAAATATGCATATTTATCCATTTCAACTTTCACACGCTCTAGAGCTTTTTTTGCCACAAAAGTACTTAGAAGCCTTGAGGCATAATGCACGCGGTTAATGTAGTAGTTCTACGCTAATGTAGAACAAAAAGGAATCCACAGAAATATGGATTATTAAGGGATTAAATGGAAACGGTCAAAGGTAAAGACAATGCCTACTATTCAAAAAGTGTAATTTTTAAAAGGAGCCGTTAACAGTGAAAGAATCTGGAGTTCTGAAGTATTGTAACTTAGAGGTATTTCAAATAATTTATATCGACTTCAATACCCTTATTCTCCTTTCAAAGGACTAGTATTTTTTGTGGATAATCCTGCTGTAACCCACACAATAGCTAGATTCAGTGTCAGTTAATAAGAATAAAATAGGGAAATACATTTTTTCAAAAAGTGTTGAAAGCGAAGACACAAAAAAGGCAAATCCTTCACTGTAGTACATTCTTTACTTACTTGCATAACGTTTCCCTTTGATGTAGTAAAGCTTTGCTAAAGTAAGGAAACAAACCCTACCAAACGAAGAAATTTTGAAAATTTTCTCTAATATTTAGTATTCGCTAACTAGAATAAACGCTATTTATATATGTCCAAAATGTTATTCTGATCTAGTGCCTTTTAAGGCAATCAAAACTAATAATTCTTTAATATTTTAATGAAACAAGCTTGGAGATTTTATTTGGATGGGGCCCCAAAACTGCAACAATGCTTTCCATACAAAGAAATCTTTATCTTTCTTAGGATCCCAAAAGAAATTAGCAGATTTTAGCACTAATCAGTAAAACAGGATTCAAAGGCGGTATCCCTAGCAGTGTCGACAGGGGGGTTCGGAGGCAAGCAGGCCTTGGAGACAAGCGCATAAGGCTAACTAAACATTGCCAAAATTTCCTCGAGTGCTCCTTTCTCAGAATTCTGCTATATTTTAATTCTTCTACTGACAATGTCATAGATTTGTGACTCCCAGTTTCTTACCTGAGTTCACGCATCACTTACAACCACTTATCATCTAAAAGAGGCAAGGATAAAAGAAAACTGCGATTCTGGTAGCAAATGTGTTATGGAAAGGATTTGTCCCAAGCCGCGGAACAAATCTAAAATCCCCGAAGCAAAATGAAGCAAAGATCAGTATGGACGCGGAAAGGTGTCTCCATACCCTCTGCAGGACAATAGAAGAAGAACTATGTGAAGAAGTAATGTCAGAAAGAATGGAGCACAGTGAGCAGCGTTTCCAAAATCGCCAGGAGCATCTGTATAAGTTTCCTGGAGTTTCGGCAGGGTACATTGCCAGTACACTTAACCCATTCAAAAGGGACAATCCTTAAGACAAGATTCGGTTCCTATTTACAGCTTTACGCGGATAAATGGATACCCTAGTGACCTTTCAAGTGTAAAAGTAGTTCGAGGAAAGATATGTGCTATAAAATGATGTCTATTTGTGGGAGCTTGAATCTTATCTTGTTCCCAACCAGGGTAATTAGTAGGCTAAAGTTTCTCTGCTGAAGTCTTTATAAGTAAGCAAAGGCACAGTGTATGCACCCGTGATATCTAGCGGAAAACAGAGACCATCGAAACCCCAGAGCGGTTTTTCGTCTTGCACATTTATGGTATTTAACCTTGACCTTAAACTGATTAGTAGAAGACTTAAAGTACATTTGTATATGATATCAGCCACTCAGGAGGGAAGTTACAGAATATTCAGGGATTAGTCACGACAAAGGAGAACTCCTGGAAAGTCAAAACAGAAATATTTTCCAGGGTTGAAGGTATTCCCAAGATCTAATCTCTTCTCCTGTGTAATGGTTATACAGATTTAGTTCGGCAGGAGTACCTCGTCTACCTTCTTCTTTACGCTAAAGTGCTCGACAAGGGGATGTTACTTTGTGGTTTCTCACTTTTATTCATCTGCAGCAAACCTCTCTATTCTCGAGCTGCTATTAAACTTTCACCAGCAGAGAAAATCGGCTACTGCGACTAAGGTGTTTTAGAACAAGGACATGAGATCCATCGTTTTTCATTCTCTGTAGGATGTCGAGGATGCAGCTCATCTTCCCAGATCAAGAATGTGTTACGTCTGATATATCGTTCAAAGCTAAAATAATCCATCTTCGGTACATTGTTTGGTACAACAAGTTATCAAAGCCGAATAACAATGGGTGTCACAATGTTGCGATGCAGAACTCGGTCTCGCATTTATAAAGCTGATGGCTAACTAGTTGGAATCTCTATCAAAAACGCGAATATACCTTCTTGCCTGAAGGAGATGAATCCTCTTCGTTAAAAGTATAAACCACACTGACCCGTGATCGTTTATCCTTGTAAACAGCTCTTTCAAGTTTATCTACTTTGACTTCTTGTTACAGCTTGTGAAGCAAGCTAATAACCTCCAAAATAAATGAAGCCTGCTAAGGGGCAAGTTTAATAGGCATTTCAGGGAAAATATCTTCCAAAAGCCCTCAGCATTAGGCATTAAATGTCACGGTCACCTCAAATGCCAAATTGCGCAGATACTTTATCAATGCCAGGAAATCTGTTTTCTCCTCCTACGAATCGCATTTTAAATTGCAACTTGGAACTGAAAAATACTTTTGGATTTTAAGGACGACGTGGAACAATCGTGGTGCTGACGATCCACCGCACTACTTTACTGACTATTTGAAGGGGAGGGGCTGTCTAATCACACAAGTTATAGGTATTTCGGCATGGGTTTAGGTAAAATCTTAGACAGTCAGGTAACCGAATCGGCTTCTAATTTACACCTTTTTTTCAGCTGCCAGTTTCCTTCATAGAATGATTACATGTTTAAATCTTTATTTTAGTTTCGCCAGCACTTCAATCTCTGCAAATTGTACTTCCGCATGGCATGGCCTCCGAATCTTGTCTGCAACCCTCCTTTCAGCTCTTCCATACATCACTAATACACATTATGCCCTAGTATGGTGCCTTCTTTCGACTTTAGGATGGACTCTGGAAGATATGTTGGTGGCAGGAGTGATGCAGACCCTAAAGGACAATAATCCTTATTTCTATTCCTGACTACTAAATTTTGAAACAATGGAGTTAGAGTATATCCCGCAAACGGGAGTTTCCGTCGTAACGCCTAATAGAAAGTTTTAAAATGTCGTCTACCTCCGGCAAATACTCTAGTCTCCTGGTCTGCAGGAATGCTCTCTACAATTGAATCGACACTTGTAGTGGCTATAAATATAAGGGAGTACAGACATCGCGATTAAGCGCGTTCACGGTACGTCTCCTCCCTGGGGGCCGATGAAGACCGATCCGTAACGAGGGTGGTGGTTACTGACGCCCTCCCATTTAAAAGGTGCACTCAATCAAAAATGTATTATAGTTTGGGCAAAGTGGGTCCCCATGCAGGTAAACTAACCTTCTTTACAATAATTGTATTTAATTTTTATGTTGAAGTGTTTTTCTGTCACTAAATTTTTAACCTTTAGAGCAGAAATGAGGCGTATCTATATGCCACTGAACTTCAGAGGAACCTTAGATGAATACTTATGATCGCTTTCGAAGCACTCGTCAGCGACTTTTTTCGGAAGGCGATCAAAAGCTCCTGTAATACCATGAAAACATGTCAAAAACTTGCGCGGTCGTAACTAGGACCTGAGAGCAAGCTCGACCAACACAGCGCACACACCTTACAGCCATAAAATGCATCAAAAGGAGTCAGTACTTCTTGACACAC